ACTTGTATAGTCTATTCACAACTGTTGCTGTCCAATTGACACGTAACACAAAAGTATACAGAAGAAACGGTCAAACTGGACTGAAAACACCTTCCTGATAAACAGTAATTTTTGTGAAGGAACGTTTTCTGACAAAAACTCGTAATTCAGAAACCTCCTGCTCTGCCACAACTATATTTTCAATACAGTTGCTGCTCTGTCTCTATCACTCAAAGGTTAGTCTATAAAAATGCTTTACAGAGAGAAGGATCTAAGGCAATCTATTACAAAGCAGCAATGAAAATATCATTCCTCGCAAAATAAGAAATAGCTGAGTAAATGGAGGCCACTCAAGTAATTTAACCATTGTTATGAAACATAAGTGAGGACTAAAATGTATCCAAGTAAGCAATTAAAATTATGGAAATGCCTCAAAAACTGCAAACATCCTTCAAATGAATAAATCATCTTGGAGTAATCACAAAAATGGGTCATCAGCATTGGAAGGACTTATTAAGGGAAGAGCTGCATATTCTTAGGTGTAATCTAATGGCATTTACCAGAAAGGAACTGTGCTTGGGTTTGCAGAATTTCTCTGAATTTTGTATCACTTCGTGCATGTTGATTTGCTTATTTTAGTCTTAAAAAGGGGGGCAGGGTAAAATTTTAGACCCAGTATATGCTCAATATTTTAATTCAGAAATATACTCACCTTGTAACATTATTACAATCAAATGTAGATTAAAGTAAGGAGAATTAAATCCTGATTTAAAAATCAAGGATTTAATTTAAAACAAAAATTTTAAATTTTAATTTTATCAAACTTAAAAATCTAAATGGGATCTGAAAACACAGAGAAGAAACTTGCTCTCATTTTCCTGTCTACGAACAAATTCAGGTATGATAAGATCTGCCACTTTTAAAAACTTTAAGGATGTGGCGATCCAAAATAAATAATTTAATAAGCTACAGATCCTTGACAAATCAGCAGTTCCAGAATTAAAATAAATGTTAATGCATTTACTTCCTTCATGTGTCTAGCAGGTTTCAGCTAGGTTCTGTAACTAAAAAAAAATCCACAATGCTATTTTATGCATTTATGACTCTTGGTTTCCATTCAACTAGATCTTGACATAAATCATGACCAAAAAATTGTCATTAGGAAAAAAAATATAGATGTTAAAGAATAGGATGAATTTATGCAGAGTGGTACAGTTTAAGTAAATGTTTATAGATTTGGAGTATCCTCATGCTTATCAATTAGCCTGTTATAATTAAAAATCTAAACGTAAACCAAGGTTACAATCAACTATTCTAATCAAAGTTTCCTGAGTTCTTATGTAAACTACAATTGAAATCAGTGATTTAAATCACAGTGTTTGAAATCAAACCACAACGATGTCTGTGGTATGTCTTGAATCTATGGTAAATTGAAAAAAAAGAGATATAGGGCTACACAAGCCCCTTCTGTAAAGTCCCCAAGATCCTCAACTGAACCTCCAGTACCTAAACACAGGTATGCAGGCTTGAATGCCACTGAAATATGTGAATGTTTCTGTATCTTTAGCAGATAAAGCAGGAATTCTGAAATGAGAAAAATCTCTGTTAGGGTACACAAAAAAAAAATGAACCCTTAAGGTTCAAAATGATACACAGGATCTCTAAAATTGTATTTTAAAATGCATGCTCAAACCCAAAATTGCTGATCCTAAGTTTCCCCGTGCATTCACTGTTTATGGATACTGTGAATGTGTACCCCATAATGCAAAATGGGGCTCAGTGTCTTACACTAAGGCCTATCCTCATCCGTGCCAAGTATTTGTACAATATCTATATACTATGTAGCTTGGACACAGAGTGTGAAAATGTAGGCTATTTCCTAAGAATGAGCTCAAACTCATGAGCTGGATGTTGCTTAACACCCTTTAAAGCCAAAAATCACTGCAGATAGCTTGCTTCCAAATAGCCAGCCAGCTCCTTCCTTTCACTTTTTAAGTCTTCCCCATGGACTTGGAGTTTTCAGACTGCTCAGGAAAGAAGGATAAAGAACGAAACAATGAAAACAGAGTCAAATGTAGCTAAACAGTTACAAATCCTAGATGCAGACTTTTCACAAGAACTACAATTAAAAGGAATTTTGCATCCATTCAATCCACTCAGCTAACATCTAGAGGAGAAGTTTGTGATGCCTATAAATCAGCTCAGACGGTATTCCTGAATACTGGCAGCAATCACCTATATCTCTATTTGATGAAAGGATAGCTACGTCCCAAATGCAAAACTGCATTAAGAATTAGAGAGTCTTTGAAGGAGGACTGCAAAGCAAGTTTGCTGCTTCTCCATTCTAATGCTTTGTTGTTTCAAAAACAATCTCATTTTCCACCCACTTTCTGGGCAGTGTGGCAAAAGATGATTCCTGTTTTTTCCTACCCATCTTTTTTGTCAATAGGTAAAGTATGTTGGCTCTGCTCTACTTCAGCATTACCAAAAACCTTGCTGAAAGTTTCAGATATTTACTGGGAGCTTTACTGCATCTTATTTGGAGAGATAAGGCTATTGAATAATTAACAAAGATATCTTTCTCCACAAGTTCATTAAGCATTAAGCTTATTATTTATATCACAATAGAGCTAAGATCCCCGGTTGTGAGCCAGGATCCAACTCTGTCAGACTCTGTACTGATAGGCATGAAAGCATTTGTCCTAGAGAACTTACATTCTTTGAACCAGAACATAATGTACAAATCAGACAAGGAAAAACATACAAACCAGTATTGTGAAATCTCCACGTGGACGCCGGCTGGCCAGGGAACAGCTGTACCAAAGATTTATGCACATGTAGCGCTTGCCATTTTGAAAACTCTGGTCCGCATCTTGGCTGTACTGTAATGCTACTGACTCACAGGAGAGACTGTTACAAAGAAAGGGGAGTCGATACATCTTCCCTGTCCTTCTTTCCAAACTGTGTCAGTACTGGATATCTCGGCACATCTAAGACAAGTATCTATTTCACCGAAGAAAAGGAAACTGTGAAAGTCTCCATCATCATTTTAAAAGATTATGAATTTTTCAAATGAAAAACTCATTAGGTGTTTGTAATGTTCTAGTATCTTTTGGATATGGCGTGTTTTCCTATCCATCTAGAAAGTCCACTTTTTATTTGAAATGTGATTTCTTAATTAGTTCACGCACATCACTAAAATGATCCGACCTTTCAGCAAAAAGGTAATCAGAAATAGCTAGAACTTCCTTATTAGCACCCAGACAAGGAACCAACAGAGAAAGGGCTCAATCTCAGGTAAAGAAATAACAAAACATTCTTATTACTGAAGTGGTTTATTGTGGAAATAGTGCAGTGGAGTGCCTAAGGGAAAAATCTCTGAGGAAGAAGGAAACGCATTAAACTGTGTTCAAAGACACGTTGTCTCCAGAATTCCAAAGATGATACCTGAGCCAGAAGACTGCTGGTCTGTGCTCCGCTAGTGCACACTCCTGGCACCACCTCACATGTCTGCCCTGAGTGTGGGGGATCTCTCTACAGCTGCTCTGCTCTCAGCTGTACCTTCCACAACACCTCTTGTGTACTCAAAAGGAAATGCAACCTGGGATGGTACTTTTTAAAAATGAAGGTCTAGGCACCTGGACATGTGTCTGGGAAGTGGCCACACTGCTGGACAAGTGTGCTACTTTTTGAGAACCAGACGCAGTGTGACCCAGATACTTCTGTCACTGAACACCAGTCGTTTGGGAACCAGTGCTGTGACACACAGGAAAAGAACATCAGTACTGCCCAAGGTCCCTCTACCTTGTAGTTCCTTGTCAATTATGCCTCCTAAATATCAGTAACTCAAAGAAATAGACATTTCCACATCCCTTTATCTCAGAAGGATTCTCTGGGTGCCTGAAGTACCTCATATGCTAGTTGGTAAACTTTGTAAGGCTTTTTTCAGGTTCCTAAATTCTTCCATAACTGGTTAGGTCTGTGTATTTTAAGCTCCAAATCTACAGTTATAATGCAAAACTATCACTTAGCAGACAGAACTGCACGATGAAAAAAAAAGGCTCCCATTTTCCATTTTGCTAAGTGTCTGATTACATGTTCTCAGGCAAATCAGATAACCTGAGATTCATTCAACTCATCTGCTGAGTACAAAACATTATCCAACTTCGCCTTTGCATTGCACTTTATAATCCGAGGTTTTCAAAGCCAAGTAGCAGCACAAAACACACAGCGGCTCCCTGAAAGAAACCAGCACTGGTGGAAGACTACCTAGAGGCAAAAGGAAATGTGTAGCCATTTTGAATTATACAACTATACTGGCTAAATCATCACAGATTGGAGTGCTGAGTACAATCCAGCAGCCAGAGAAAGAGTCAGAAGTCCCCAAAGATTTCAAAAATTAACTACCAGAGAATAATATCAGTAATTTATAAATTATCTTTTAAAAGCATTAAAACCCAACAGCAAACCAAGTTAATTTCCCTCCCAAACTTTCTTCATACTCTCCTTCCCATTTAATTTGCTTTCTCTGTCATAATGATTTCTTGAGGTTCTGATCACAGTATCATTGTGGTATCAGTCCACTGGAGGCATAATCCTGGCAATAGTCCTTTTAAAGGATAATTTAATTAAATTAAAGTGTTAAATAGTAGAAGAAAATTAATTTCCTCTGATTTTGTCCTCTCTTAAATACTTAAACTTGTACTATTATACATGAAAAATAAAATGAAATCTATCAAGTCTGAAACCTCAGATTTCATCAAGTACATACTTTTCCAGTGCGTATAAAAGAAAATCAGCCCATTAAAAATCCAATCACTGGGGAAAAGTAAGTTATTCATATTGAAATGTGTAAGTGCCTCTTCCCACCTGTAGCACCAGACACTTTCCATGCGGAAAAGGATAAAAAAGGTGAAGAAAAATAAAATACAAACTCCAAAAGATTGCATTCATTTAGTTTCAACGAAATGCTGATGAGCCCAGGAAAGCGAGAGGCTTCAGAAAGAAGAGGGCATACTCACTGCTTGAGGCAGACAACTCTTTCGGACTGGAGGACATTGGCTGAGCACACATCTGGCAGAGACAGTCCCTTCCATTAAAGGTAACTCGATCACCTGGTGGAAATGGACGCCTGGAGAGTTTAAGAGAAAACTGATTTTAGCAAAGATTATGCCAGAAAATTTCCTCTGTTCCCTATGCCTTCAGTTTGCTGCCTTTCCCCAGTGCAATCAATATTTTATGGAACTCAGGCCTAATAGTTTCTGCAATGTGGCCTTGGCAAAGCCAGGCACTGGAAGAAATCCAATTTGTGGAGGCAAGCAGAGCAGAGGTTGAGCTTGCCTTGTACTTTGGTTAAAAAAAAAAGTTTTCAGATATACTTTATCTAAAGAGTATACGACAGTGAAATCTGCTTAGACACAACAGCTACGTTTATGATGGTCTCAGCATGATGTTCTGAATAGCAAATAGTACAGAAGATAACTCAGAGCAATGTGGAGCTAGTCACTGATAAATACACTAATTTAATCTGCATTCAGCAATTAATATATTACTTTATTACAGTGGATGTAGCAGTTAAAAAAAAAATGAAGTGCTATTCACATTAACTCTCCTAGAGCTTTAAAATGGGTAGCTACATTACAGAACCACCGCTGTAATTGCTACCTGTGCAGGTGATGTTAGGAGAAAGGTAAAGCCTGAATGCACTGTGAAGTTTGAGATTATTTGCTGAACCCAACAAAATGTTAAGAATGTGTGTCAGGCAGAAGCTGGCATTACTGCTAAGTCTTATTCAGTGTATAAAATTGAGGATGAACAACATTTTGTATGAGCACTTCACTAAAATGAGAAGGTTCAAATCTTTAGTAAGTATCTTTAGCTGCTGAGTATAGGCCCTGCTACACCACACCTCACTCCAAAACTGCGCTTAACAAGTGAACATCTGCTTGTTTCCACAAAATAAGATGTTTAAGACATTTTTACTGCCATTCCTTAGTAGGCCATAAATAAATCAGCAGCAGTATTGCATTTCATGAATCTATTCAACAGCTTATCTTTTGTTCATTCAACATAAAAAGATTGATGCAAGTCAATGTACAGAAAATGGATGCCATCTTTTGTACTGTATCACCTACTTTCACACACTCTTCGGGAAATAAAGCTGAAACATATAGGTATGATTACCAACATGCAGTAAATTCATACACTGTTTAATACCAAATGGAAAAAAGATTAAAATACTTTCAATAGAAAAGTTCTTGAAAAATGTATCAGGCTATAGGACAAAGTACTTAAACTACTTACCAGAGATAGCTATGAAAGATTAGGGTAAGTCTGCCACATGAATACTCAGATTTTATTCCCTGCAGAACTGAAGACTGGGTCTCTTACGGGGGACATGAAATAGTATTTGTGAAGAAGAGGGGGATCAGAGCTGTCTCAGAGCCATGTGTTCTCGTATGATGTGAAAATGAGTTTCTAGTATATTCTCAATTGTTTAACTGTTCTTATAGTCCGAATTACTTCTCTACTGTAGTATCCAGAATTCTGCTTTACCTAACTTCTCCCATCAAGTTGGGTTGATCACTTGAGCTCAATTCAACCCACATCCATTATCTCAACATGTAAGCCTGATATTTAATTCTTTCATATATGAGAATAATCTTCTGAGAACAGGGAATTATATGTAACAGAGAAGCTGTGTCCCCCAAATAAATGAGTGGTATTTTGAAGGCCCTCAAAGTCAGACTTTTCCAACCAAATGCTTCTCAAGGAGAAATATGTCTTGAGAATTGTGTCTCATGGTGATACCTTTCTTCCTGTTTAACTTGTACTGGACTCACACGATGTCACACGGTAAGGGATCACTTACTTGCAAACTGTACAGGCAAAGCAGCTTGGATGGTAAGTTTTTCCCAGAGCTGTCACCACTTCGCCTTCCACGAAGTCCCCACAACCGTTGCAGCGGGTACCATACATGCGCTGGTAATCCAAGGTGCAAAGATATTCCCCATTCTTGATGAAAAAGCCTCCTTGTGCCAAGTCACAGCCACATACTGGAAGAATAAAAACACACAGAGAGATTGGAAAAATGTGCCTACTAAGGATGAGAGCAACAATCTATGCTTTTGCTTTCTCCTCCTGTCATTACAGGCCTTGACATCCCAGGAGATGGTTGGTATCCTCTGACTACAAGAAAGCTTGTCATAAAGACTTTTCTTGGAGGAACCCACATAACCATAACTTCCATGTACTTGGTCCTTGCCAAGACCTCCACTAACATGATTAACTAGATGACTGGAGGTGTCAGAGTAATTTGTACCAATGCAATCTTGCTTTCACTTCTGGGACTTGAGATTAGCAGCAGAAAATCTATGATTCCATAAATACAACAGATTTTAGTACTTTATCCACTAGTATACGTTCTTCCTCAAGCACGTATGTGCTTTATTTTAAAAAGCTTTCTAGGTGCTGCGTCTTCTTGAAACAATGGATATTTTAGAAATGTTGTATGGTTTAGATAAACTTCTCCAGTCCCTGGATAACACTGAGCTGCTCTACCATCACTACCTTAATGCTTTTTGTTTTGCTTTAAAAGTATGATTTAAAATGTTCAGGTTAATTTTAAAGTATTAATTTAGACATAAATAGCAGGAAAAAAATGCAGACAATCAAACATTAAAAATGTAGCCATGCCTCCACCATACACACTTCATGATATAAGTTGCCCAACTATAAAACAGTGCACTGCATAAAGCAGATTGGAATAAAGAGTGTTCCCCACTTGTGTTCTGAACAAAGTAATGCCCCAAGAACTACTGTTACCTTTGAGTGCCTAATCTGCATTGGTCTTGTGTTACTCTTTTATACACTATACTTTCTGTACTTCATGGATTAGATAAACCACTCTATTATTTGGATATAGATTTATGGCCATGTATAACTCTATTCAGAAAAATAATTGTATCAGTAAAAGGGTGAAGGACCAGTGTAGGATCTGTGTGACTTGGCAGTTTTTCACTGTTAAATGCTTATTCAGCCAAACCAAAAGACATCACAACCCAGTGCCCGTTTTTCTTTAAGAAAATATTCATAGTGCTACATTGGCATTTCTGGTCAACACAGAAAGCAACACATCCCAGAACAGCCAACTCCTATGAAGATAAAGTGTCATGGGAGACTGAATTTCACAATTCTGCTTTAGCTTGGGTTGAACAAAGAGCTTGAACCTACCTATTTAATGTCCCATATTCTTCTACTTTTACTTTCGCAATTCTCTTTCCCATCCCACCAGGGAGTTGGAGGGAGTTGAGTGAGTGTGCTGCATGGTGTTCAGCTGCTTGTTGGGTTAAACCATGACAGCACCAAAAATACTAATTGGTTCATGGAAGCTTTAAAAAGTCCTCTTTTTCACCTCAGAGAGAAAGCGTAAGTAGGAGTTACTAGATGAATTCTTAAACAAATATACACATGGCAGCTCACAGGCATTTTGGTTTCAGTCACTCCTACTGCTACTCTGTATATTGCTGCATCTGTGTAATTCAGTACGAGAAGCTACTCTTCACAGCAGTCTAGAACGTTTGCTTAACTCTTACTAGGCAAGCAATTCCATCTCATCCCTCTTCATAACATTCAAGTACATCCAGATCAAATATCAGAAATATCAAGTACCAGGAATTCTGATTACTAATGAAAAATAAATAAGCAGTATTCTAGGCCGCTGCAGTTATAGAGTCCTTGAAAAATTAAAGTATGAAATACAGGAAGATTACCAGGGGAACTGGGTTCAATTCATTTCTCTGCCAGAAATTCCAAGCACAATATTGTGCACAACATTCATTCTCTCCTCATTACAATGGGCTAATATCTTATTAGCTACCTGCCTTGAAAATTGAAATTGCAAGGTGCTTGGGACAAGGAGTGCAAATTCTCATATCTGCCTTGGCAGTGGGTCTAATAAGGTGGGATGAGCAAAAGCAACTTTTAATGCAAGCTCCGCTCTAGCTTCTGAAAATCCAGCTTCAACGTATCACACAGAGGTCTGTGGCAGATCATTGCTTGCAGAAAACACCACAAGCTTTGAATGAAAGGGTTCAGGCACTCACAGTTATTAAGCTCTACCCCTTTCGTGTGGCCACAGAGATTCAAGCCTAGTGATGAAAATAGGGGATAAAATTATTTGGCAAGTCTTTGAAAGGCAGTAATTACTAGTATTAAAAAGAAGCTCCCTCTATTGCCCTTTTCTTTCTGAAATCTCCTTTCCACTCAATCTCTTATTCTTTTTGTCAGTAACTCAGAATGAGTTAATTTCTCTCATACTGGCAAATCATGAATTCGGGGACAAGCAGAATTGCTTACGATGTGAACCACCAGCAGATTCATCATCTTTGGCGTACTCACAGCAGGAAGCACGCACCAATCTGCGAGAATTAAAGACAAGTCCTGGCAACCCCACATTACAACGGATTTTTGCAGACAATTTAGCACATGTGTTCCCATCACTAATCACAGCTTTAAGCTACATCGGCAAAACAAGGGTCACCCAAACTGTTAACATCCATGGTTGAAAAAACGCTGCTTTCACTTTGAGTCAGAGATCAAATCAGAAAGGATGAACACGACTGCATCCACACTTGCTGCACAGTGTGGTGTACAAACAAGGAAGGGATTTAAACAGCTTTTTTTTATTTTTGCAACTGCACAGAAGTCATGGGTCTGACAATAAATCCCCTCAAGCTTAAACATACTGCCTTAGCACACATATTTATAACTACTGTAGAAATACCACAGAAAAGATGGACCAATTGTGATTGTTTTTATTAAAAAGAAAGACCATCTGCCCAGCATCGCTCATGCCACAAACAGCAGAGGCAATGAAGAGAAATCAGATGTGATCACTACATCCGTAAAATACATCCCAATAGTGTGATCTAGGAAATTGCTGTGATACAAATATCATGTCATCAAAGAAAAACAAATACCAAAACGATGACAATTAATATGAAACATTAAATTATGTTCTTTTGTTTTCTCCTATGCTGATGGGAAAAACAACTTCAAAAGAATTAATTAGTAGAGCCCATAGCGATGCTTAAACCGCGCTTGAGATGGCAAAAACGGAGAGAGATTCTGTAAACATCCATCACATGGAAACAGTTTTACAGGAGAACATTTCCCCAAAAACCCTTCCTGCTTGATACAATGGAGGAAATTCCATTTTACATGACCAGAACCTCCCTTCTGAAACAGGAGGTAACTGGGGAGCATTTCTATGCCCTGAAGTACCACAAGCATAGAGATTAAAAACAAAGAAATCACTGCCTTTTTTTTAAATAACATAGAAACCCATTATCTTCAACAGCTCCCAGAGGAACTCTGCCTTTTTCTCAGAGTCTGACATCAAAGAATTTCATATTCCAGACAGCCCATCCTGCCTCTCTTGTGAATGGAATAAACTGGGATACAGTCCTGCCTCACACTGTATGGGAAACACAGACCTACAAGGTTTTTCTCACTTTACCTATTCTCTGGAGCTACTACTTTGTACCCTTGAAGCACAAAAAGTTTGGAGATGCCATCAGCGCAGGGTCTGTGTATGCAGGCCTGGGCTATTATGACAGAAGGTGCTGCTCAAGAGCAGTCCGACCGTCTGTGGTCTCCATGGGACTCCAATCATCCTTAAACTGAGTTGCTTCCAAGCTTTAACGGATAGGATGAAAATGAAGAGATCAGATTTTTTCAAAGTGGATGGAAGTAGGATTTGATCCTCCCGAGCATTATGTAGGATTTCCATGGGGTTATTGTCAGTGAGAGTTGAAAAACCAGGCCCTTAGTAAAGTAACTCCATGTTGATGTTAAGTAAAAATTGTTTCAGCACTGCAGAAACAGAATCACACAGGCAGACTCTATGAGCTCTCAGCTTGCAGAAGCGAATGCTATTCATTAAAAGTCTAACAATCTGCTTTGTCACCATGCATTAAATAAGGCACAAATTCAATTTCCTGTTGGGGTTTTATTTCTTTCTTGTATTTCTAAGCTTCACAGAATAATGGTGCTGTTCTTAAATGTGGAAATATTCACATAACAGTTATTTCTCAGGACATAATGGATTTCTTGTTTTAAGGGAGAAAGGAATTTGGCACTGTTTCAGTTTATCATCTACATCTAAACAAATACACAGAAAAAATCCATTTTTTAAAAGAAAGAACTTAACAAATCCTGTATTGATTAAAGCAAGGTTCATGTTCTTATTAAAGTTTCAACATTTCAGGTGAACGAAATCTTTCTCTGCCTTTGTTTTATTCCTCTTATCAACAATTTTCTTGAAGGCATAACCTCTCGTTCCTTAAGTCACTTAAAGAATGAATGTACATCGAAGTATCATCAGAAGATGACATGAGAACAGTAAATCTCAGAAGCCATGCTGCAGCTCTACTATTGCAGAAAGGCTACAAGGCACCATTAGGAAACTGCATACAGCTTTTTGCAAAGGCTGTAACAGAGATCCTGATAAGTGCTTGTCACACTCCTGGTACTGGAGATTTTTTTCGGTATACGCTGATGAGAGATGCAATTTGATCCAAGCTATCTGGAACTGCGTCCAGCATTCCTAGTGGTTCTGGAATCTCTTCTCATTTCAACGGATTGACTTTACTGGGAAGTCAAAAGAGCTTTATATACATGGAACAAATGGGAGAAAGGTTTAGCAGCTAAAATACCTCCTGAGAAAAAGATGACACTGCAATTCTCCCCTCTTCGCCTAAATTGGTCTGGGGTCCCCATGAGAAGCACCCTCTAGCCTAGGTGCTAAACTCTTCTCCACTCCCCTTGGAAAATCTTGACCTTCCATTTCAAACATCCCGCCTGTGTGACTACTGAGCACTGCTGTACACAAGTCATTCTCAGTGGGGCACTTGAGTGAAACCCCCAAGCATTTAATGCAAGCATTCACTCAACTGAAACCACTAGTGATCAGTGATTTTCAGATGAGCTCAAGAGTTTTAACTTAATCAACTTCCTAATCAACGCCATGACACAAGGTCAGCTTGCTTTGGTT